CCATTGGATGAAAATCTCTTGGGTAGAATTTATGATTGAGAATTTCATGGAGACATGGATTCTTGATTCTTGGTGCATTCATTGAAATGGGTTGAGATTGAATGCGAAGAAATTCGGTTCAATTCAATCTAGGATCGTGACAAGGGAATTTAATGCATTCTGGAATTTCACTCTAAGCCACGAAAGTGGATAGAGTACTCTCTTGGATAACGGGTTTTCGGTTTGAGAGAGCCGAACCCGACCTTAGTCTTGGAATCCCTCACTTTAGAACAAGCATGATCTAGGTCCAATATTTCCTTACGGCATCCTTGCATGATTCGGTGAAACCCGATTCCCATAACCTTTCCCATCGATTATCTCCTCTTGAATTGTGATTGTCTTTGATTTTACTTTCTTTCTTTTAATTTTCTGCAACTTACGAAAACCAACAAAAACAATTCTCCGATTTTATTTTCTCCATTTTCCTAGTTTTAGTCGATTCCTAGCTTAACCGCTTAAGTCCTTGTGTTCGACCCCGGTACTACGACATCCGTATACTTGCGGATTAGTTGTGTGTCGGGTATAAATTTAAAGCTCGTCACGCAAGTGATCAGTTGGTTGGCCAATTTCAATGAGTAAGGTATTCGGGTTACACCCAAATCATTCGCTAAGCACGTAGCTTAGGACGTTGTTATGCAACGTTTCAGGTTAAGAGAATCGCGAGGGATGGTAATGAAAGTCTGTAATACATATCAGTGAAAAGTTCTACCACTGATTTTTCCAAAAAGAAATCATCCATTGGTCGAGATATCATACCAAGTAATATGAAGATACATTTATTAACATAACTATGCCTACCCCACATATCGATCCTTTGCTCCGCCTCACCTATTCCGCCTCACCTCGTTATGATATCAGAGCTTCTCTACTCCACCTCACCCATTCTCTATGTATAATCTTCTTCTTCTTCACCTAACATAGCTACCAAACCTTCTTCTTCTTGTAGAGTTGTTTCTCTCCTTTCTTCCCCATAGGCATTTACCCTAATCCCCTCTACATGCATGTTGCAGATTCTTCAAACTTATCTCTTGTCTCTGAAAAGCTGCTCGGTGAGCTCAACTACAATATTAGGTTTCGGTCAATAATCAAGGTTCACACCGCAAAAAAAAACTTGGCTTCAATTACGATACTATCTCTAAACCCGAAACTGATCATCTAGATTATAGTGCTTGGTTACGCTATAATGAGTTAGTTGGTATTCGGTTCTCCTCTGAAATTGCAAGCCTTATCATGTATCTTAATGAAGCAAATCTGATATGTACAACCCTTGAGACAATGTTTAAACACAAGAATGCTTCAATATTTTCTCATCTTGAACAATAAATAGAGAACCTGCGACATGGTTCCCTGAACTTAAACACATTCTTTACAAAGCTCAACGCTGTATAGGAGGAACTTAAAATGTATGAGCTTTACTCAAAATGCTCATGTTGAGGATGTACATGTCAGGCAAATGTATGCCTCATTGAATTGTACAAGAAAAAGTTAGTCATTAAGTTGAATGAAACCTATCATCCTGAAGACAAATATTAATATTGGACCCCCTTTCCTCTTTAACAAATGTATACAATTTGGTTTCAAAAAGAACACCAACATTATAATTTAGCCCCAGAGTCCGACCCTACAAGACTTCGGGTGGGTTCAAGTGGGGTTTCGAATTTTTTCTCTATTTAATAAAAAACAAATATTAATGTAAAATAACTGTAACAATAATATTGTGATATATTTGACAAAAATATTCTTCAAATCAATAATAGTAAATTAACTAATTAAAAAAATGAAAAATTTATACAATATTTCATTTCTCTTATATCGTATCCATACTGGATTGAAGTAAGACGATATCACATTTTAACTCTTGGTCAAACCACTCAACAAAACATATATATATATATAATTTCAGTAAAAAAAAGCATATGATTTCAGTACATATGATTTCGAGACTATAAAAAAAAGTATATGATTTCAGTAAAAAACCACATACAAATGATTTTTTTTTTGTTATGCTGTGTGATCCAAGATCTCGATAGTAAGAAGGATGAGGGTGGATAATGATCGTCGGTGCAGGTGGCATGAACAAAGAGCGACTCTCCAAGTACCGCTAGGCTAAAGGGATACATAAATGAATTGAACGCGCCGGAATAATAGGGACCTGAGGGCTGTGTAGGTATAGGACTACACATTCAATGATAACTTAAATGAATTAATTGAACTACTCATACCAACAAGATGCATATGTTTTTTTGGTTGTTTATCCCGAGAGGATTCCAAAATTAAGTGTGCTTGCTCTCGAGTAATTTTAGAATTGTTCACCTCCTGGAAAGTATTTTTTGGGATGTGTGTGAGTGAAGACAAGACACGCTAAAATATCTAGTGTTGGTGTATGAGTGCAGTTTGAACATTCCGTAGTGGTCTCGGGTTATTATATTTTTTTGGGGCAGGCCGGTCCGTTCAATTATTTATCGAGCCTATATTATTAGGTCCATGCTCTTAATATTTTCGGACGGATTTGGGGTAGATTTTGGGTTTCGAGCTTTATTGACACCTTTACAAATATATATATACGCACTAGTACTACTGTATCCATAAATACACATACTCGTATATGGGTTTTTAAAAAAAATAACCCTAATATGCTACATGTACTTTGCGTACCCTTGAGAAGAGAGAGAAAAAAAAAACAACTTCAAACATATCCTTATAAATGTGTTATTCCCATAATACCTATTGATGTGGGGTTCAGCGATAAAAACATTAATGACAAGAGAGAGAAAAGTAGTTTTGGATTTTCTAAGCAAAAAAAATAAAATATTTTAAAAAAATTTAAAATTACCTCCATAACAAAAATTTTAAATTTTTTCTAGAAATTTTAAAAATTTTCGTTATGACCAGTGTGACCAACTTTAAAATCATAAACTTAAATATAAATAATATATATTTCATTCATTGAATCAAATCTTATATAATACCAAACTTACCTTCAATTTCTTCTGCTATTTTTTCGGTTTTCGACCGAATCGTGAACAATAGATGAGGTCTTCGATGAAGATGTCGTTGATGAAGATGTGTTCGATGGTGCAAAATGAGAGAAGAGCTGAGAAAGAGAGAAGAGTTGAGAGAGAAAAGACTTGAGAGAGAGAGAAAAGTAGAGAAATAAAGGCATTTGCTTCTTTTATTTTTTTAGGGCTTTGAAATGTAACGTATGAAGTGAAAGTAGAAAAGTAAAGATATTTTTGCTAGTATATACGTATAAATAAGACAACTTATATATAGGCTTACCTAAGTCTTGTAGTCGAAGATGACCAATGTGGAGATTTTTGGATAAGAAAAAACCAAATTTTTTCTGTCAAATTTAAATAGAAAAAGAGGACTCGTATTTAATTCTTTGTTCAAATCGCATTTTTATTTTCAGTTTCAGTACAAAACTTTTGGTATAAGGAAAACCTAATATAGCTTTTTAAATTGAAATAGAAAATACACAAACCGATTTAATTATCTAGTCAGATTATGTTCGGATTTAGTTAAAAAAACACTAGTTTGCGTTGGTCTAACCCTAAAAACAGTTTAATAAGAATTCTAATTAAAAAAAAATCGGTATAGTAACAATGATAACTAAAGACATCTAGTTTTGCTGTAAGAATTAGTTATAATTGAACGGAATGTCCAAAATTAGGTTATCTCTTCAATCTTTAAATAGAATGCTAAATGGTAACCATTTCCCACACTTCAAATTCTAAAGACAACTATTCAGCCCGAGAAAAGAATCATCGCCTAACCAAAGATATCCAAAGTCCGTCTGTCACAATGAAGGTTTGGCTCATGTGTTTTCTCGTCATGACAGCAACCCTAATGGTCGATTGTGCCATGGCCGAGACCGAGCCGAAGAACAATATCTTTGTCGGTGGTTCGAGACGTTTCCTAAAACAAGAACATATTGATTATTCAAAAATTAAACCAAATCCCATCCAGAACCGATCTCCACCTAGCCCTTATCATCGGGGTTGCTCTTACTCCACCGGTTGCAAGCATTACTAAGGTTTCACTATCTCATATAATTTACGAAATTAAGAATGTATTTGTTAAATATGTATACAAATATTGTTCAATGAATTCTTTTGGAAAAATATGACAGCTTGTTTGCTAATATCATATGTAATGAATTGTTTTGACCAGAGAAGGAGAATGCAAAGAAATCTCTGTATATTGATTTTCCATCCAAGTATTACATGATGTATATACAAATAATCTGTATAAGAAGATATGGAAGTTAAATCTACACAATTAGGAAGTCACTAACAGTTATAATACATAAAAGGAATGAAATAAAAAATATCTGCAGATCCTCTCAATTACCTATAGTTACCACATGGCTGCCATTACATCATCTGTCCTTATATGTGTTTGTCGCCAATGTCTGCTCGTCAACAGTTGGTCCTAATAATGATCAACTGTTCATTTATTTTCCCATTTGTATTCAGATTTAGTTGATAGATTAAATTAAACTCAATTCAACATATTCACCCCTTAATCAAAGGTGAGGGGTTCGAACTCTACATTAAAAATTGAGTAACTGTTCTTTATCGCTTTATGCGACCACCTAGGGGCATATGGGGTTATTCTGAATTATGTGTACGGCTTAAAAATATCGATTCATAATTAAATCGTCGTTTAAGACAACTCGTGGTCAATAAAAAATTGATAGAATTAATTCATGAATGTTTTCTTTTCCTCAAGGAGAAATCAATGTCATTATCAATTTTACATTTAAATTGTGAGGTTAGATATCTAAGTTGATCACTTTCTTTTTTCTCTCTTTCACAATGTTAGGTCGTACGTCACTGACCTAATAATCTTAGAGTTGGGCACAAATACCCGAAAATCGGGTATCCGTCGGATACTCGTCTCACGGATGCCCGATTTTAGGGTACTCATAATTTTCAAATCCGAATTAAAATCCTGATTTTTCAATATCCGTGAATCCGAAACCAAATCCGGATAATAGAATTTTTAAAACCGGATATCCGCGGATACCCGACTTTTATGATTGTAAATAATTATATCTTATATTTATATAATATTTTTATAAAATATAATCATTTTAGATTAAATAATTTTATATTTGTTAATATTAATTCAAAAAATTAAATTTATTATTATTTATCTCTTATTATCTCATATATTTTCTCATAATTCATCAATTTTTATAAATATATCTTTATTTTTTAAAAATTAATATATATAAATATTGTTGTTTTTCTTAAATAAATCCGGATCCGGATACCCGCGAATACTCGATCATTATTCCGGATACCCGTACCCCGGATACTCGTAAATACCAAATTTTGAATACAAATCTTATAGTTGAATACCCGAGCCTCCCGAATCCAAATCCAAATCCAAATCTCTAGATTTTTCCGAATATCCGATCCGTGTCCACCCCTACCTAATATGTGAGGTTCGATATATGATATGATATGTTTTTATTAAAACAAATCACAAAAATATTGAATTCATTTTTTATTAATTAATTTATTAGATTATACTATCAAACATATTGCATATCCTAGTTATGTATTCAAATGTCTGATTCAATAATTTTTGCTTGGTTAGCCTAGTTTTATTATTCTTGTATCTTGGTTTGTAAAAACCGAATTTGTTAGCATATTCCTTAGGTTGGTAGGGTCCGATTATCATGTCATTTTTTATGTGAACACTTGAATAAAAAGGGTGTACAATAAGCATTTTGAATACATAGAATTATTCAACAAATTTAGAAGATCCTTTGCTCAATCTCGTTATGGTATCAGAGCGATCTCTACTCCGCATCACCTATTCTCTGTTGAAAATCTTCTTCTTCTTCACCTAACATGGCTATCGGACCTTCTTCTTCTTCTAGAGTTGTTTCTCCCCTTTCTTCCACTGTAGATCCTTAGTCTAATCCCCTGTACATGCATGCCACAGATTCTTCAAACTTATCTGAAAAATTGTTTGGCAAGCTCAAATAACAGTCTTTAGTCTCGATCAATAATCAAGGCTCTCGCCGCAAAAAATAAATTTGGCTTCATTTACGACACTATCTCTGAACCCGAAATTGATCATCCAGATTATCGTGCTTGGTTGTGCTATATTGAGTTAGTTGGTATTTGGACAACCAACTTAGTCTCCTCTGAAATTGCAAGCCTTATCATGTAACTTAATGACGCAAATCTGATATGTACAACTCTTGAGACAAGGCTTAAACACAAGAATGCTTCAAATTTTTTTCATATTGAGCAATAAATAGAAAACGTGTAGCAAGGTTTTCTTAACTTAAACACGTTCTTTACGAAGCTCAATGCTCTATAGGAGGAACTTAAAATATATGAGCCTTATCCAAAATGCTCCTGTGGAGGATGTACATGTCACGCAAATGCACGCCTCAATGAATTGTACAAGAAAAAGAATGTTGTTAAGTTACTCGTGAAGTTGAATGAAATCTGTGAAGCAATGTGGCTCATAGTTGTGAAGACCAGAATGAAGCTTGAAACAAAGCTTGGCAGAGAGAAGCCTCGGAAATAATCAGAAGGTTTGAAGGGCTGAAGGGTAACTTGGATATTACCGAGTTTGTTAAATCAGTTGTGAGAAGGGGCAATCTCGTAACCCTGTATACATGCTCGAAGTATAAGAGCTGAAAAAAACCTGGGAAAAGTAAGACGAACTTTTCATTTTCTGATTAGAGGGATTCTCTTCTGGGTAAAGGGAGAAATTCACCGAGAGAATCATTCTTGTAAACATTCTGATCTTGATAGTGATTCCTGCTGGTTCGATTTGAACCGCCGAGATGTACTTGATCTACACTGGATCAATGAACTCGTAATTCTTGTGTTCGCTTGTGTGATTTTCTTGGGTTGATTCTTTCTAGGTTTTGCGCTCAATCGAAATCGGGGAGAGAGAGGTGAGATTGAGTGCGGAGATCAATCGAGATCGAGGTTCACAGGTAGTACAAGTGGTATCAGAGCCCGTTGAAGATGGGGAGAATTCTGGAATCAGGGAATCTTGGAATCAAGGCGGAAATCTGTAAGTTTACAGAAGCTGCGAAACCGGATCTGGAGACAGATGAACTAAGGATGATGACCTGCAAATTGGAAGTCGAAAAATACGCTGGAAAGGGAGATTTCTCACTATGGAAAGATAAGATCATTGCGAGTTTGGAGATTTCACGCCTACACGATGTACTTGATCCGAATTATGATATAAAAGAACCTACTGAGGAGGAAAAAGAAGCGGATACGACAATGGAGTTAAAAGTAGCAAAATCTAAAGGCGAGAAACAAATGGCAGCATCAAAATCTGAACCTGGGAGGATACCTGAAACAAGGTATGAACGAAGCCGACGGGTGAGGAACCTAATTCTTTTGTGCTTATCAGATCAGATTATGAGAAATGTTCGAAGTGAACAAACGACTGTTGGGATCTGGAAAGCACTAGAAGATGAGTTTCTTCACAAATCTCTGCCAAACAAAATGTACTTGAAACAAAGATTGATAGGATTTAAGATGGACTCTTCAAAATCTATTGAGGATAACGTAGATTGCTTCAAGAAGCTGGTAAATGATCTGGAAAATCTCAAGATAAAGGTTGCAGAGGAGGATCGGGTTCTTATCTTGCTAAATTCCCTACCTGATCAGTATGACCAACTCAAGGAAACGATGAAATATAGTAGGAGAGAGTCAATAACGTTCGAAGAAGTGACAAGTGTTGCTTACTCAAAGGAACTTGAGTTTGCAGAGAAAGGACAGAAGCCAAGTGCTGAAGGATTGTTGATCCGAGGGAGACCAGAAAAAAGAGGATCTCCGAGTGAGCAAGGCAAGAGAAAGTCCAGATCAAAATCAAAAGGGAAGTCAGGGTCGGGATGCTGGTTTTGTGGTAAAACAGGACACTTTAAGCGAGATTGCAGATCGAGAAAGAAACAACTGGAAGATCAGGGAAAAGGTTTAGGTGAAGCAGCAGCAGTATCAGACTCATACCTCGAAACTGAAGTACTGAGCATTTCGGATCAAGATCCAAAGGAACAATGGATACTGGATTCGGGGTGTACATTCCACATGACACCTCGAAGGGAATGGCTTGAGGACTTTCAGGAGTTAGAAGGTGGAAGGGTACTGATGGGGAATAATGTGACATGTGACGTGAAAGGAATCAGGTCAGTTAAGATAAAGACTCATAAGGCCAGGA